ACAGGAAGTGAGTGAACCATTTGACTCCTTTAAAATATACATATATATATATATATATAAATCCAACCGATTTGTTTTCTTTGAAAGAAACCCATAAAACATGTGGGTTGGATATATTATGTGTTCTTTTTGAAGATTTGTATTTGGTGGACTTTTCAATATTTTACTGTGCACACGGTTTCCTTGAAGGGCAATCAGGTTCATTCCCAAGCCCTGGGGGTCATTTCCTGAGCAGCAAGCCGCGGATTGGAATCCGCCTAAAAGTCTCCCTTCGATTCTGCCCGCAAGTCTTTATCATGGTTGTCGTTGGGAAACATTTTGCATGTTTGCTTATTGTGGTTTCGTGGGAAATCCCCACTTAACTGGAAAAACCTAATTTTCCGCTCCCCTTCCAACGTCAACCAAGTTATGTGGATTTGACCATGACTCAGGTGGCGATAGCTTTGCTGGCGCAGCTTCAGAGTCAGAGGCTGCAAGCTGACGCTCAACGTGACACCGGCAGCTTTTGTTCTCTTTGGTTTTCGAATGAACACCCTGCGATGCTGGTTTGAGCATCTTGCACTTAGAGTTTGTTGTTGGCTCGAGGGGTTAAAACGACATGGGCTGGAACAGGACGAAATTGGATCAAACATGGGCATGGGGTCGCGCAGCCGCACAGGTGTCCTTCCTGGTTTTAGTTGGGAAGATGATGGATGAATTGCAGTGGTACACTAGTTTGCCAGCACCATTTGTTTGTCTGAAAGGACACCTTGGTTGGGCATTTCTTGTTTATTGTTTGTGTTATTGTTTGGGCAATACGGGTTGAAGCAGGGGCGGTAAACCCAATTAGAGTCTTTGAAAAAACCGTGGCTTGAATCTGTCCAAACAGGCCCTGATTGGGTGGTGATTTGTTGGGCAGAACAGGTAACATATTTTTGTTTGAAAGGCTGCAGAGAGGACTGTGTTTGGACATGGCCTTTGCTCGCTCAATGTAATGCGTCATGTTGCTCTAAGGCTGAACATGGGCATGAGCAACCGACTAGCGGGCAATCGCACTGATGCCATGTAGAACTCTCGGTCAGACTTTCCCTCGACGTGTCGAGCAAAGTTGCCTTGCTTAGTGTTGCATCCATAGTTGAAGGGGCGAGCGACATGAGTTTGGTCCTGAAGTGGCGCTCTTTGCAAAGCGAGATGTTCCACCCTCCATCAAGACCACTGTAAAGCAGAACGGTTGCGGGTGGAAGATTCGGGATCCGTCTGCTTTTTGGGCAAGCCCAATGTCGAAGCCCAGGCTAATCAAGCTGGCGGATCAATAGCGGGGTGATCCCCGAGTGATTTGGATTCTCTCCTAAATGGAAACATCAACATCAACTCAGAGGTCCATTCCTTTGGCTTCCCACTGAATTCTAGTCCTAACTTGCTGTGTATTTCTGATGTCACACAACTGCGCAATCCGCAAATGGCATATATATATAATATCTCTCCCCCAAGGTCCACGCCTCTCGTTTGCAGCCATTGTTGCTGGACAATATATATATATATATACACATAGTTTTTCAATGTTTGACTGGCTGCCCATCACTCCCCTGCGTTCGGGTCTCTTCCCTCAAAATCTGAGGACCGGATCACCTGCAACGCAGCCATCAGCGCCTGCGAGAAGGCGAAGCAATGGCCAGCCGCGCTGCAGCTCCTTCCGTCGAGCGACGCCGACGTGATCTCCTACAGCGCCTCGGATTTCGCGGAGAGAGACGTGGCTTGGTGGCTCAAGCGGCCCTCCGGTTCTGTGGCTGTTTTTTGTTCTTTTCTTTTTCTTCGGGTCAGTGGTGTTTGGCTTTTGGTCGGTTTTTTTTGTGGTTTTGTTTGGTTGGTTTGTGGCTTTTTGCTTCCATGTAACCCACTGAAAGTGTGTGCGCCTCGGAGTCGGACGGAGTCGGATCGAGCCACTGGCAGAGAGAAACGAAAGGCTCACGCAAATGGGCGCCTGGCTCGGGAAGAAAAGGAATCCCCTGACCTGTTCAGTTGGCGATCTTTGCTCAACCAACAGAATCCTTGCCTATTCTAAGCTTAGTATTTGCAATGTGAGTTTTGTAGTGGGAACCTTAGAATAAGTACCGACAATTGTTTGTGTGTTGTTCTTCATAGTTGTTTTAAAGTAGATGGCTTCATATTGGGTAGCTGCGCAGGTGCCAAGCAACACTGGCAGCATCCACCTTTCTCAAAACACGGGAATCCCCAGCTTTGCTCAACAGGGGGAATCAAAATCAGGGTTGGCCTGAATCTCAAAGCAATGTCCACACTGTCCACACCACAGGGGGAGACCATTTCTACGTTCCTTTTCGGCCTAGGCACCTTTTGTTTCATTCTTCCTTGTCCTCAGCGCATGATGGTCTTGGTCGCATTTGACTATGTTCTTTCAGGTCAATACAGGGTGGGCGGGCATCATTGTTTAATGCATTATTTAGGCGTTCAGCTGGCAATCTGTTTGTAGGGTGGTTGCCGGTTGGTCCTTTATTTGAAGGGTCGGCAAGTTAAAGCATGTTGAATGGGCAGTGAACAGAGCAGATCAGATGCATGTAGAAACAAGTGACGAAAGGTTTGATTGTTGGACCACCCTCTAAAATGGTTGGCGGACATAGACCCCCACCTGTTCACATTCATCACTTTTTCTTGGCAACTTGCAATTGAAACCAACGGCATGTCGGAAGACAAAAGCAGATGAAAGGGTCCTAAGTCGCAAACAGTGCTTTGATTGGCCAGCCGACCAACTTGTCTCAACGTGTTGGTTCGAGCCTCGTGTTGTGGTTCCATAGTCATGGTCCCAAGCCCTTGCTACCCTTCTTTCATGAAGTCTCTTGTTGTACATGGCAGTCGTACTGTTCATCCAGTCAATACTTCCTTCCCAAAGGTTCCCCAGAGACATGTGTCCAATCTCCAAAGTCCGCCATGCCAGCAGCCCCCAACAACTTTTTGGGGGCCATGTCCAAAAAATCCAAAGTACTGTCCAAAAAGAAGCTGTCGGGGGAGGCTGGTGGGCCCCTTTTTTTAGTATGGCTGGGGGAGTTGCAGGTGAGGAAAGCCAACACCTGAGTTAGCCATGGTGGGCTCATTGGATACGTGGTGTGGGAGGCTGATATTGATCGGTTCTTGTTGGCTGCCCCATCCTTGGCGGCAGGTGCCGTCATCAGCGCTTGCGGACCTTTGCAGTGGGAGTTGGCCTTGCAGCTCTTTACGGAGTGCCGGAGAGCCCCTGACTAGTGCGGTGCCCTTTTTCTGCTGTTCTTTACGTATTTCTTTTGGATTGTTTGAACCTCACCTTGTTCGGCGTGCAAGCACATTGGCTTTTTGTGAGATGGTGTTGAAGGAGGCATATAAGGACCCTTCTTTGCTTATGTTGGGGAGAGGAAATTATTCAAAGAAGAGGAATCCAAATCAGAAAGTCGTCAACGGTCCTTTGTGTGTCTCATTTTGATCTTTCTGGAAAGCCCAGAGGAACAGTCCAATTCGCTGATGTGGTCCTCCACAACGCCTGCATCTCTGCTTGTGAGAAGGCCACCCGTTGGTCCGAGGCCCTGGAGATTCTTAGGAGCCATCTCCAGATTCGATTTTGTGACCACGGCTTGTCCTACCTCCCATCAACATGGACCCTGATAGGGGTGGATTCGATGTGGTTTTTTTTTCCTCCCACTCTTTTGGGTGTGGCTCAAAATTGAACTAACCGGGGTTACGCAGGTTTTAGTCTTTGGTTTTATTTGCCAAGGTGCCAGTTTGGTGCATTTTTGTGACCCACATGGAACCTGACCTTCGGGGATCCCTGGAAAGGAAATATGGTCCAAACCAGGACTCCCTGAATGTCGGGTTCCATGTTAATTGGTGGGAGGGGACACCCTGGGACTACGCCCTCGGAATCACCTGATTTTCTAGCCTATGTCCGGAGACAACCCGGTGAAGTTGGTTTCATTTGGGATGATTTTGTGTAACTTCTCTAGGGTGTAATCCCAGGGTGTGAGAGAAATCCTTAGAAGGCTTCAGGTATGCCTATACTTTCCTCTTTGGTGGTGAAACATCTCCTTTGGGCTGAAAGGTGGCGTTCCGTTGGTCGGGTGAAGTTTAAGGGAAAGTATAATGAAACCTTCGTTTCTCCGACGCGACGGATGATGAACAGTCAGACGTTGGCTTGGCTTTGTTTGGGGTGTGGGTGATATATCCTGCTTTGCGTCAAGATGAGTCACTGACAATATTATCGGCCATTTCCTTTCGGTTGGTGGTAAACTTGTCACGTATTCAGACTGCCGGACTTAGGGTTCTTTTCGGGTAGTGTAAGGGGGCTAAATAAGTACACACACACACATGATTATCTTACAATCATGACTATTAAAAATACTCCACAAGCCTATTCTAACTATTTCGGCCCTCTTTCAGGAGCATGCGGAGCCACCAGATGAATGCCACCTTGATCACATACACGGCCGCCAGTAGTTCCTGTGCCAGAGCGTCTGAGTGGCGACAGACATTGCAGCTGATAAGAGAGCATGAAGAAGAACGTTCCTTGCCATCTCAATGTTTCTCTCTGGTGGACCCCCTTTGGTTTTGTCGTTAAAGAGAAACGAGAAGAAATCCCACCATTTTATCGGACCACTACTTTGAGAGCCCCCTTCTTTTTTTGACAATTGTTATGACCTTTCACTTTGGTTTCTGCGCTATTTTTGACACTTTACTCGGTTTTTTTTTACATGTAGAGGTTCACTTACTTTGTGGGTCGGTAGTTCAGCTTTTGGGAAAGTTCCCAACAGCGGAAAGCTTCTTCCCAAAGATCAACTCAGGTTTGCAACCAACAGTTACCACCTACGGAGGTGCAATCAGTGCATGTGAAGGCGCTGGCGAATGGCAGCAAGCCTTGGTTTTGCTGGTCAAGCTGAAAAGCAGCATTGGCAGTTGGATGTGATCTGGCAAAAAAATGCTTGCCAGTGCTTGCTTGGTGTGGTGAAAAGGGCCTCAACTAGAGGCATGCCACTGTAATTGTGTCATGCCACATACTCTTGCGCGGATTTGTAGCGCAAACGTGCCAGGAAAGAGCAAAAGTTCGCATTGGCCTGAGTGAGTCGCCTGCAAACGCATGTCGATCTGGTGGGGAGATCCGACCGAGGCGTCAAATCCGCGTGCAGGGGCACAAGGGCCCAACAGCAAAGCAAGGCACACCCTGTGGCAGTGCCATGCTCGTGGGACGAAATTTGTACACAACTCTTGTTGGTTGGAAACATTCAACAACTATTAGCCTGCTCTAGTGTGAAGCAGAAGGCAAATGCCAGGAGATGAGTCGTCCGGTTTGCCATTTGCTTTGCCGATTCCATTGGAAGTCCCACGAAGCTTTGACGCGCGCCTTGCGCCTCGCGTCAGGCGAGGAGAGACGCTCGCGGGGCCGAAATCGTCGAGGCAGCCGAAGCCGAGGACGTCCCGTGCTGACCGCCGCCGAGGACGATGTGACGACGTGGATCGCTGGACCTTGAACCTCTCCATCTGGCTGTGGTTGTCAAAACCCATGGGATCCCATTTTGGTTGGTAGGTGCACCACTCATTTTAGAACGTATTTTAGTGGGAATTGGGATGTTCACTGGGGGTACTGGGTTTTGACCCATGCCCCATCTAATCTTTGCTTCTGGGTGAATTATAACGACCTCACACGACCTCACCCAAATGGTGGTTTATGTGGGGAATTCTCTCAACCGCCGAAAATTACCCACTGGTGCCATCTTATAATTCACATTAGTTCACCCAGTAGCTTGGTTCGATCAAACATGAGACCTGTTGGTTGGTAAAGGGAAGCCAAAAAGCGGAGACGAACCGTTTTGGGGTACTAGTTTTTTAGGGGTTCAATTCCCATTCTTTTCAACCATCGTTCTTTTCAAAAACCGGCTGTTTCCCCTGGGGTTCTGTTGGTTTTCTGGAAGAAGTTCCCTGGAAAGAATGGGGAAGTGTCCCCGCAAAGTTTGAGAACCTCCTTCGGCTGTTCCCAGCGGAAGATTCCGCCGATTTCTTTTTTCAGGAGGTGCCGCGCAAAGTCCTGGAGGAGATGAATTTGCCAGAGGGCACGAAGCAGGTGAAGCTCTCGAGGCCGTTTTCTTTTCTTTTTCTTCGAGTTTTTGGTGACAGGTCGACCCGTGAGAATGTCGGTACCCGCAGAAAGAGCGCACAGAAAAGAGGAGCAAGACTTGCTGGTGCGATAGGGAAGGAAGGGAATGATTCTTATAAGCCGTCCTGTATGGTTTAGGAAATGTTCAGGTTCATTCCCTCCTTCCCTACCTGTGGCAGAAAGAAAAATGAACCAGATGGGTTTTTGGATTTGTTACCATCTCGCCTTTCCGGGGTCAAGGTTCGGGTGCATGCCCATCTGGCACCGGGCTGGTCCCTTTAGATGAGCTTCGCCAGGTCAATACAAGCCGAGTCATCACAAGCTATCCTCTTCTCAGTTGTTCGGTGGCTCCCTTTTCCCCCTTTCTTTTGGGTGGCCCCACTAAAATGGTCTTCCCCAAAAAGGGTTCCCTTTTTTCCAGGGTCACTGAACAACTTATCCTCTTGTGACTTTGTTTTTGAAGGTTCCAAGCCCACTCCAGTCATCAGGTTACCCTGAGCTAGTGGTTTGGATCGGTGGTTTTGGGATACGGGTTGGCTTTTGTACAAACTTTCCATTTCAAGACCAAATCACCGATTCGGCTCCAAACCAATTTGAATCCCGGCGTTCAGGTTTTGGACATGTTGTAAAAGTTGCAGAAGGTTTTGCTCTTGTGACTTTGGTTTTTGAAGCTCCCAACCCCACGCCACGTACGTCTCGGCCCTAAATTTCTTTCTGTGGCCCACAGACGAGACGCACCTTGCGGCAGGCCACCGCCGCCACCGCCGCGAGAAGGCCACGGAGATGTAGTCAAGGGTCAGGGGTGGTTTGTGGGTCTGGTCTGGGTTTTTGGTCTGGGGCCCAACACAGAAACGGACAATCACTCACGCAATTGGCCCAAAAGGTACATGTTTTAAACCACATCCCTTGAGGGGAAAGATCGACAACTCTCCAGCACTTGCTGGTGCTCAGAAGGGGATTACCCGGAGTGTGCGAAATGAACCTCGGCATTCCCCCTAGGAAACCATAGGGGATGGTTTGTAGGGGTCATTCCCTCATACCCTGCTGAGAACCAGCAAGAATGTCGTGAAACGAGTTTGTGCAACAATCCCTTTGACTCGGAAACTATGTAAGCTGAACTAACGCGTTGGAGTTGCGGACCCACCGAGGTACGCGTCGGACAGAGACGCAGAGACAAGCACGCCATCACAGATGGACATACAGAGACACACACAGACACACACACACAGACACACACAGACACACACACACACAGACACACACACACACACACACACACACACACACACACACACACACACACACACACACACACACACACACACACACACAGACACACACACACACACAGACAGACAGACAGACAGACAGACAGACAGACAGACAGACAGACAGACAGACAGACAGACAGACAGACAGACAGACAGACAGACAGACAGACAGACAGACAGACAGACAGACAGACAGACAGACAGACAGACAGACAGACAGACAGACAGACAGACAGACAGACAGACAGACAGACAGACAGACAGACAGACAGACAGACAGACAGACAGACAGACAGACAGACAGACAGACAGACAGACAGACAGACAGACAGACAGACAGACAGACAGACAGACAGACAGACAGACAGACAGACAGACAGACAGACAGACAGACAGACAGACAGACAGACAGACAGACAGACAGACAGACAGACAGACAGACAGACAGACAGACAGACAGACAGACAGAGACAGACAGACAGACAGACAGACAGACAGACAGACACAGACAGACAGACACAGACACACGGAGAGACAAGCAGACACACGGAGTCACACGCAGACACACGCAGACACACGCAGACACACACAGACACACCCACCCCCCGCCCGCCCACCCGCCACCCCGCGCGCGCGAGCGTGCGCGCGCGTGCGCTGTGCGCGCGCACGGACCTGCCCCAGGTCCAGGTGTCCAAACTTGAGAAAGCTTGTGATGCAACAAAAGCACAACTTTCATGTCATGTGTTTGTTTTCGATTTGGCTGTGGGTCAAGAATATGTACCCAAACTGGAACCCTCATAACAACCTGCAGTCCAATTCCTGGTGGTTTAATTTTGACCCCCAGCCATTTGAGGACCTGTTCTAAACGGGCTGTTGCCACAAGGCTGTTGCCACCAGGCGAAGTGGAAAGCACAGCGCCAAAGGCCGCGGCCGTGGTCCTTTTCCAAGGGCAACCCGGTTGAAATCAACGAGACCCGAGAGGTCTTGGCTCGCCCTGAGTGGCCATGTTCCAAGGGTAAACGTTCTAGGTTTGCCAGTAGCGCCCTTCTCTACCCCTTGGGGGAGGGTTCCCCTACTAAGATAGACTACAGAAAATACTCGGGTACCCTCATTCTAACCTCTCAAATCTGGAGGACCTAGACTTTTTTGGGCATGGACCATAGAGTTGGTCTCACTGTGCGATTGAATTGCCACGTAGGACAACGCTTCACGCGGTTGGAGCCTTTAGGGGTCTTTGCTGCGTTGCAATGAAACACTGCAGTGCTGGTCCCTGCTTCTTTGATGGGACTCAACAGCCGATTTCGCCTAGCCTCAACGGGTCGTGGTTGACATCTCTTGCCTGATCTCACGGCCTTGTCTGAAAGTCAAATGCTTCTCCCCTTGAAAGCTGAGCTGCGGGATACGTGGCATGCCCTGGATTTTGGGGTGCGTCACATGTCGCTTGGCCTCCCTTCTCAGCTCTTGGCATGACTTCAGCTGGCATGTTCTCGTTTCCAGCCCTTGGCAAGCTCAGCTCTTGAGAGGGAACTTGGTCGAAATGATAAGTAGAAGTGAGTTTTGAGGCTTTTTTGAGGGTACACCTTTTGGAGAGGTGCTAAAGGAAAAGCAAAAGGAAGCTAGCCTGTTTTTGGTGTCCCCGATTTGAAGACCCATGTCGATATGAATCATACAGCCAGCTGGAGTTCCCTTTGCGCAGGTTCTGACTCCCACCGAGTCAGCGTGCAGGCCTAAGTGCAAAGGCGGTGCCTAGACTCTGAGTTTGGTTTTGAACAAGATGGGCGGCTCTGAGGGATGGAAAGATTTCCTTCTACACCTTGCCCAGCAAGACTGACCAAGCCGAGACCAAGAAGGCGAGCGAGTATTTTTTTGGGGAGGGGGGTTCTCGAAATTGAACTCTAGGATAACCTGGTTCCTTTTGTTTTGTCATTACACGGTTTTGTGTCCGCGGTTTTGACAAACCCATTTGGGCACCATCCTTGTGCCGCAAAGACAATGGCTAGTCTGTTTGCCGAATTTTGGTCTTTGCTCAATGCTAAGGCGAATGAGTCGTGATTTGCCCGTGCACAAAACATATCAAT